AGTTTTGGGTTATCACAGAACATGTAGGGGAAGCTGGTTTTTCATTAATTGTCTTTTAAATAAGGTTCTTCGGAAAAAAAATGACAACACGCCATATGAGTTATGCAAATGTAGAAAATATTTCTACAATTAATTAAAAATGTGGGATTTCTTGTAAAGATAATGATCTCATTATCGAAGGAAACGAAATAAACCCCAAAATAGTGGATTGTATTTTCATTGGCTATATAGATTATAGCAAGACATATCGATATCTTGTGTGTGAATTAAAGAACCGAGAGATGCACAAGAACACGATAACAAAATCAAAGAATATTTGATTCTTTGAAAATTTATTCCCTTATAAAACTAAGGAAGATGATCGAAGACTATCAATAAAGATAAGTTTATATGTTCAACAAAATATTGAAACAAAGATATAGTTATGATGACAAACCTCTAAAAAGAAATTATGAGAGAACTGAGATATCTCAGATATGCTCAAGAGTATGTATTGTATTATCCCAATATCATACTTTCTTAAAAGGATACTCTGATGCCAGTTGAATATTTGATATTCAAGATATCAAAGGCACAAGTGAATATGTTTCACATTGGGAAGAAGAATCATGTCATAGAAATCCTCAAGAAAATGGTAATAACCAATCCAAAATGGAATAAGCGTTTGTAGTTCTAGACAAGTCTAGATAATAAGTTGAATGACTATATAATTTCTTGGAGGATATTCTTGAATGGCCAAAGTTTGTGCCCGCAATATTCATATATTGGTAGAGCACATAACTTTATGTATAATGGTAAGTTGAGATATATACATCATCAACACAATACCATTAGACAACTGATCTCAAATGGAGTTATCACTGTTGACTTTGTAAGATCAAAGGATAACATCGCTAATCAAAGGGTTAATATTGAGATCAAGTTGAGAAAAAATCGAAAGGAATGGGACTAAAGCCCATGAAATTAAAGGATTTACGTGAAGGAAAACCCTACCTTGTTGATTCAAGAATTCAAGATCTAGGTTCAAAGGGACAACTAATTGCATAAACCGTGTGCGGTCATTGTGGGGGGGTTTTATCCCAAATTTGTTCCTATGATGTAAACATTGATCAAATTGGTATAAACTAAGAAAATATTTTAATGAACATTGTGTGCTTTAGTGAGTCAAGCAACATAAGTCATCTATGTAACTATGAAATGTGCCCACTTCAAGGAGACTATTGGGCATAGTTCTTTCAAACTCTTGCAGAACCAAGCAATGTCCATGGCTTTAAGTTACATACCCACGAGAACTAAAATTCTTGTCAGAGGGGTAGTTGTGTGAAATATATCATCATTTACATAAATGGTAGAACAGTTCAAGGACATCACGTCTATTGGTCAGCTAGTAAAGTAAATATGTTGTTATAAGGGAATGTTCAAAGGAGGACATCTACCTATCCTATGCAATTATCGATCCTAGAGTCTATCACCACATCGAGTCAAAATGGTTTTGATAAAATGATCAATTTCATTCATGTGGGGGATTGTTGGAAAAAAATTCGATAATTTTGAAGCTTTGAATGAGAAATTGATCCAAACGTTATTGAGGAAAATGTGGAACCAGGTGTTGGTTCGTACATGTCCAGACGTGCACAATATGGGTAACGTTAATTTTCTGAACCAACCGGGCTCTTTGTGGGCTTGCGGATATTTTAACCCAAATTTGAGATATTTTTCTCAAATAGAGCATATCTTTTCAAAATCTATTCTGGAATTAAAAGGATAAATAGTAAATGGTTCCTTTAATTAAAACATTAATTTTGGAAATTGCTTGATTGCTTGATTCTCATTAATGCTTAATTAGGTCAAAATTTTCCAATTGTTCACAATGTGAAATCCCTATAAATACCTTGTAAACCTACAAGGTTAAACACAATTCAAAACAACTCAAAACTATTCAAAAAATATTTTTCTCTCATCTAGTTTTTTTGGTGATAGACGCAATACAATGAATAGTTCATGCTCTCGACAGTTGTGCTACTGTGCTCTAATCATCTCGTTGTTGTATCCTGGGAGACAGACGACCAAAGATCTCGAGCACCAATGAGTGACCGAAAATATGTCTTAAGAAAACTGCGTAATTGCAAGCCTCAACTCGTTTTCAATCGGTTGTTTTGTATTCAATCATGTGTTTGTTTTTTATACTATATTTGATTATTTAATAAGGTTTCTTTTTTCCTTTTATTTTTGTCGTCTCTAATTGTTATACTTCTAACAATATGAAATCCCTATAAATACCGTGCAAACATACTAGGTTAAACACAACTCAAAACTATTCAAAAAGTTTTTTCTGTGCTCTATTTTTTTGTGATAAACGAAGTCAAGGAATAGTTCGTGATCTCGGTAGTTGTGCTATTGTGTGTCGATCATCTCGTTGTTGTATCTTGGGAGATAGATGACCAAAGATCTCAAGCACCAAGGAGTGACCGAAAATCTATCTTATGGAAACTGCGTAGTTGTAGGTCTCAACTCGTTTCCAATTGGTTGTTTCGATTTCAATCATGTATTTGTTTTTATACTATTTCTTATTATTTAATAAGATTCCCTTTTTTTCCTTTTATTTTTATTGTCTCGGATTGTTATACTTCTAATAAAACAAATGTGTGGCCCTAGGACAAGTTTGGCTAACATAAATGCCCCTAACATGATCACTCGTTGCTCAGAATGGACGCTTGAAAAACTTGCGTGCACATTAGAAACAAAAAGGGTGACAACGGATCCCCTTAGGGAAGACCACATTTTGGCTAAAAGTGTGTCATTGATTCAAACATAGTAAGAAACGAAAGTCCCACAAGGCATAATAAGTGTAACCCAACTTGGGGCAAAACCGACCTAGAGCATCACCACTTGTAAGAATGACCACTCATCATGGTCATAGGCCTCCTCCATATCTATCTTCAGCACAACTCCCCAAAATATTCCATTCTTGGCATATTTAAAATAATGGAGAAGCTTGTGGGAAACAAGAATATTATCGGATATTAATCTATCCAGCACAAACAATCTTGTATAAAAATCAAACAACCCATCAATTCCTGGAACTGGATGACGATGAGATAAAAAATATTATTATACATGTTAGAAAAATTGTTGTAAATTGGAAACTTTGAGGCATATTTTTTTAGGGTAAAGATGGAGATTCGAATAATTAATATATTGATTCATATTCTACTCTATGAAATCTTTACAACGGTATCTCATATACTTAAAACGGTTAAGTGATGAATGAGAAATTGATGCTCAAAGTAAGATACATGTGAATCGTGTTGTGTAAGGAAAATGAGAACTCATATCCCACATTGGTGGGATAACAAGCATGTGAATGGCCGAAGATCTGTCTTATGGATATATTGTTTTCGATTCTTTTCCTATGTGAAACATTATAAATACAGTGTAAACCTACTAGGTTTTACACAACTTAAAAAATCTTTTCTTTTTATCCAATTTTTGGTGATAGCCTCGAACAAGATATATTTCGTGATCGCTACCGAAAATTTATCTTAAAGAAACTGTGTTCTTACAAGCCTCAACTATTGTCAATTTGTTATTCAGTCGACAACCGGATTTTTTATTCTAAACTGTATTTTTCATTTATTAATAAAAATCGGTTTTTTTCATCTCGGATTGTTATATTGTAACAATGCATTAGAGTCGTATTTCATTTGAAAAAACACAACGATACACTAAGAAAAAAGATTGAAACAAAGTTTCATTTTGTTCTAGTCGATTATGCTAATATCTAATTTTATCAAAACCGGACCGGACGGTTCGACCGGTTGAACCGGAAACCGATTGCATGTCGGTCCGGTCAGCCTCCAAAATCAGTTTTGCAATGAACTGCTAAAGAACCGGTTGGGAACCGGAAAAACCGGTGAGAACTGACGGTTTAAGTAGTTCACACAGTTCTGTTTTTTTTATAAAAAAAATAAATCAAACAACGTCGTTTGTTATGATGATTAATACTTGTATCAATTATGTACTTTTTTTATTTAGCTGTTGATGAATTTCATTATGTATTGACCTTAAATATTATGTTGTAATTGATTTGAATCATTTTGTTTCACTTGATATTATGGTATTTAACTTATATATGTTATGACTTGTGATATTTTTATACCTTTTAATATTGTGAACTTAAAAAGAATGTTATATATATATATTAATATTTCTTTGAATATTATGTAAAATTTAAAAAAAATATTATTTTATATAAATCGGTTCAACTACGATTGAACCAGTGAACCAGTACCTACACCGGTTTAAGGTCCGGTCCTGTTTTAAAAACAATGCTAATATCTAAATCTGTGAAAAATGTTGGTTGAAGTTTTTAATAGAAATTGATTTTCTTTTTATATACTTATCAGTATTTAATGGACAATTTTCGTCAAAAGTTTTCTACATAAGGACACATAATGAGGTGAATAAAATCTTAAAGTACACCTTAGCCTTGTATTTTTTTATCTAAAAATTCAAATTGCATCTAAACAAATTTATTATTAAAAAAAAAACCCAGTGAGGCAGAATTTCTTAAGCTTAGGAGAAGACAAAGGCATGTTACCCAAGGATGAGTGTGTAAGTGGCCCCGAAACGGACTGCCAGTTGACCCAAATAGTTCCATTCTTCTTCCCCCACAAAATCCATCGTCATCCTTTCCAATTTCCATCAGTGTTCAAAGACATAATTTTGTTAAAAAAATGATGTTTGTCAGTTAATAATTGGACAATTATTCTCTGTCAGCCAACAGATGGGATACAAGATCTTCTCCATATCACTATATAAAGAAACTGAACAAGTTTTTAACCTTCTAAGCAAAGCAATGAGGCCTTCAATTGCAACTTTATGTTTGATTTCTTCCATGGTTTTCTCTCTTTTGCAGTCACCTGGATTTGCAGCTAAAAGGGTAACCATTTCAATCTCCTTTGAAAGAGAAATAATGTAAACAGAGCATTCTTCTTTGAAATGTTCATGTCTGTCGTGTAGTCATATGTGGTATACCTGGGAGGACACTCGCACGGGCTCCAACCTTCATCGGTCGATCTCGAAGCCGTGACGGAGACCCACTACGACTTCCTTGGATCGTTCTTGGGAAGGTTTAGAGCATTTTTTTTTTCAGATTTTTTCTCATCTGTTTGTTGAATGAAGTATTGGAATTAAGCAAAGCTCGTATTTGAAGTTGTCGAATTTGTTCTTCCAACAGCCGGGATGATGCACGCGAGGCAATCTTTTACTCCTATACCAGACACATCAATGGTTTCGCTGCGAATTTAGACGATGAAGTAGCCTTCCAGATTGCAAGTGAGACCCCTTTTTCGAATTCGATTTTCTCAACAACAGATTAAATTTAACAGAGCGGAACTAATGTTATCCAATGCAGGGCATCCCGAGGTAGTTTCAGTTTTCATGAACAAGGGAAGGAAACTACACACGACTCGATCATGGGAATTCCTCAGAGTCGAGCAGGACGGCGTCGTTCCGTCGAACTCGATATGGAAAAAGGCCAGATACGGCAAAGATACGATCATCGGAAACCTTGACACCGGTGAGTTGCTTTCAGGTTCCCTAGTATGCCTAAACATTTCTTACTTTCCATGCTGACTATGGAGTATAGAGTGTGATGGACAATTCAGTTTTTGTCATTTTTTTCCATTTATGTCCCCATATCACTCAAATTGACTTCAAACACGCAATGGGAAAATATTTTTATTTTCTAAAAAATGTTAGCCAAGTTTGAACAAATCTTCATATTTAATGCATTGATGTGTCCATGAAATGCAAATATTGTGAACGAATCTCTTTATAACATATCATTGACTATAAAAGATAAAAAATTTAATATAAAAAAGCTAGCATATCTTGATAAACTAATAAAGTTTTAGAGAGGGAAGTATGTTATCAACAAAGAATGTAAAGGGAAAATCTGAAATATATAAAATTTAATCAATGGGTTTGTTTAAATAGTAAATAGTTTAATATCATTTAAGCAAAGTCTTAAGTTTGACTCCTTGTGTATACAAAAAAGCTTCGCTACGAGACTCACCCACCAAAATCAGGTGTGTGATCTGGTCGGTCTATATTAGTCAAGGCAAACCCATAGAACTAGAGGGCAACCAAATATATATATAATTTACAATTTCTTATAGGACGACTATCGCTGTCCATATTGACAGATCCATATATTTTTTGTAGACATATATAAAATTTTAGGGTGAACATTATAAGTAAAATATACAATTAATATAAATAAATTCAAATTTCAATGTAGATACAGTTCTATCCTATCTCCACCATTGGCCTCCAGTTGCTCTCTCAGTTCATCCATGTATGTAAATATTAACGAATAAATATAAATATAAAATTTTAAATAAGTAAAATAATATAATATAATTTTAATGTTTTAAATTAATATAAATTTCGTTCAATCTGAATTTATTCATAATCTAGATAAAATTGAGGCTTTGAATTTAATTTTGCAAGCTGCTCTTATAAGGTAAGTGGTATATTCGAGGAGAGCTACTATGGAGGAAAATTGAAATTGGAAACCATGTGAATAAGAGGAAAAATTATTAGATAATAATAATTTTTTATATCATTTTTTTTCAAAATAAATCTGTCTCTTTTCTATTTATAAATGAAGAATAAACAGTAATTTAAAAGTTATTTTAGAATTTATGACTCTAATTCATTACATCATAGATGATGTAGTGAGTCAAACACCATGAAATAATTCTCGGATAACAGGGATTGAAAAGCACTGCAACAACAGTGGCAAATGACTTTTCAACCATATCCGATAACATCAACGGATAACAGGGATTGAAAAGCACTGCAACAACAGTGGCAAATGACTTTTCAACCATATCCGATAACATCAAGGATTTTGACTGTGATCAATGGCAGACATAAAAATTAAAGCTGAGAGAGAAATTATAAAACTTTAGAACGGAAAAATAAATTACTAATAAAAAATACAAAGAAAATAAATGTCTCAATTAACTCCTGAATCTATTCAGTGACTGTGACTTTGTAAGCGTAACGCATGGTGAATGGGATTATGGTAGGTGTCTGGCCTGAATCCAAAAGCTTCAGCGATGATGGCTATGGACCAATTCCATCGAAGTGGAAAGGCATTTGCCAAAATGACAATGACCCTCGTTTTCACTGCAATAGGTCAGCCTTTTTCATGGTCATCTTCATCCTTGTGTTGGTCATTTTGAGGATATAGACTCTTTTTTTATTTTTCATGGTGGGGCAGGACCAGTGCCTGAAAACAAGCTTTATTCGTTTGAGTTTCATATCAGAACTTACCTGAAAAACCAAGCTTTGTTCATGTTGAAAGGAAGCTAATTGGAGGAAGGTACTTCAACAAAGGTTATGCAGCCGTTGTAGGTGCCAAGCTCAACTCTTCCTTCGACACACCACGAGACAACGATGGTCATGGAACCCATACTTTATCGACCGCTGGGGGTAACTTGGTAGCCAAGGCAAGTGTTTTCAGCTTCGGTAATGGGACGGCGAAAGGAGGGTCACCTAGAGCTAGAGTAGCGGCATACAAGGTGTGCTGGCCACCGGTTGAAGGAGAAGAATGCCTCGATGCAGATATACTGGCAGCTTTCGATATGGCCATTCATGACGGTGTCGACGTGGTGTCTGTGTCGCTGGGAGGAGATCCGGTTGACTTTTTCAACGACAGCACCGCGATTGGATCTTTTCATGCCATCAAACACGGCATTGTTGTGGTCTGCTCAGGAGGGAATTCAGGACCTGCTGATGGTACTGTCTCGAACCTCGCTCCATGGCAGATCACAGTTGGAGCCAGCACCATGGATAGGGAGTTTCCTAGTTATGTTGTCCTCGGTAACAATATGCGCTACAAGGTGTACCTACTTCCCCATATGATGCACAATTGTTTAATTAGTTGCTTAATAGCGTGTGTGATACATATATTGTTAACTGGGACTTATCAAATTACTTGATTTCCTTTCTGAAGGGACAAAGTTTATCACAGAAAGTGTTGCCACACCAGAAGCTCTTCCCACTCGTAAGTGCAGCCGATGCTAAGTTGGCTAATGCATCAGTCGAAACTGCGTAAGGATCGAAATACATTTCAGTAGTGGTGTATGTAGTTCCATCCTCACAACGTCCTGCAAACGCATGCTGATTTATAGAACCTTGCAGATTGTTATGCCAGGCAGGAGCCATCGATCCCGAGAAGGCAACTGGAAAGGTGTTGGTATGTCTTCGAGGGCAAAATGCGAGAGTTGACAAGGGTCAGCAAGCAGCTCTGGCTGGTGCTGTGGGCATGGTCCTTGCTAATGATATTCTCTCGGACAACGAAATTATAGCAGATGCTCATGTCCTCCCTGCTTCACACATCAATTACACTGATGGTCTCTTGGTTTTCGCTTACATAAATTCGACAAAGTGAGTCTGAGAACTAGTAAATATATGTTAATTTTCACCTTGGCGTCTCAGTTAACTTTATGCATATCTGGAACAGAAATCCCATTGCTTATATTACACCGGTAACCACTCGAATCGGCACAAAGCCAGCCCCTTCCATGGCAGCATTTTCATCAAAGGGACCGAACACGATCACACCCGAGATCCTCAAGGTATTTTCCTTCAGTTAGGTGAAAGAATTTTCCATTTCTTTGGCTAACTTTTAGTATCCCGTATTCAGCCTGATATCACCGCACCGGGAGTGAGTGTTATAGCCGCATTTACAGAAGCAGCAGGGCCAACAAATTTAGATTTGGACAAGCGCCGAGTTCGATTTAACTCTATATCAGGCACTTCAATGTCATGCCCTCATGTTTCAGGCATTGTTGGCCTTCTTAAAACCCTTTATCCGAATTGGAGCCCTGCAGCAATCAAATCAGCTATTATGACCACTGGTGAGAAACTTGTTTATAAAGCCAGAAACATTTGGTTTCGAGCTCTTCAAACTTGCTTAACAATCCCCACCATTTTTGGATGCAGCAACCACATTGGATAATCTGAATGAGCCAATTCTGAATGCATCGAATATCAAAGCAGGACCGTTCAGCTACGGTGCCGGACATGTACAGCCGAACCTTGCTATGGATCCAGGACTTGTTTATGAGTTAGCCACCACTGATTACCTAAACTTCCTTTGCACTTTGGGGTACAATGAAACGCTAATTTCACTGTTCTCAGACAATCCCTACAAGTGCCCGAAGCCAATCGACCTCGCCAGCTTCAACTACCCTTCAATCACTGTCCCTAACCTAGTTGGATCCATTACAGTAACTAGGACCGTTAAGAACGTCGGTTCACCAGGTATTTACAAAGCTCAAGTGCGGCGACCGACAGGAATTTCGGTTTATGTTAAGCCCCGCAAATTGAAGTTCGAAAAGGTCGGTGAAGAAAAGACATTCAGTGTTACCCTCAAGGTTAAGAATGCTCGTGCAGTTAAGGAGTACGTATTCGGAGAGCTGATATGGTCTGACAATGTACACTATGTAAGGAGTGTTATAGCAGTGAAGGCAGTCTAAAGGATACTTTGATTAAACAATAAAGGAAAACAAATAAAGAGTTTTAGGATAATTTGATTACTATATATATATATATATATATATGAAAAAGTTGGCAAAGTGATGAAAACCACTACATATATAACATATGGTACAACTTTATATAAAATTTACCAGGCATTCAAAGGCTTTGAATGATAGCAGCAGCCCTTTTGCCCCATAAAAATAACAGCAGTTTAAAAGAGTGAAGGATTAAAAACATAAAACAGTGTGATTCCTCAGCCTTCATTCTCGACCCTACATGGTAGTTTCCGAACACGGATCGATATTCAGAACCAATCCCCTTTGAAATTCAACATACGGATAAGCTATAGGTTGATCCTCATCATCTGTTTTCCACCTACAAATTTTGGACCACACCCTCCATGTAAATACATAAGTTGATACTAAATCACAATTGTGAATTGGGATTCTTTGTTTTTTTACCCTCTTTTATCTGAAAGTTGAAATGAAAAATTAGCAGTAATGTTTGATTTTATTTACTGGTTATGTAAAAAAATCACCTGAAGTTTTGGACTAGGTGGTGGAGGAAGAAAGCAACCTCCACCTTGGCTAGGTCAGATCCAGGACAGCATCTTGACCCACCTCCAAAGGGTGTAAATTTCTTGCATGTGGGATCCTGACTCTGCATCAAACGTGAAAAACAACCAATCAACCTTTTTACCGGTATACAAGACACCGGACGGAGGATGATCATAAATGTTGACATTCAAACTCGCTAGTTATTATGAAAACGAATACATGAACCGAGTTAAGCTCAGATTCATAATGCAATAAATATACATCTTTATTTACATTTAGATGGATATGAAGGTCCAAATCAACAAGTTTGGTCAACCTAGAGAAGCTGACTTGAACCCATTGTAAGATATGTTAGGTCCAATGTACCAAAATCCTTCATGGTCATATGGTACAGTGAAGGGTCATTTTGATCTAACAAAAAATGGTGCATAGCTCCCAATTTGAGATGACAAGTCATTACTTTGTCCTACAAATTTATAAGGTCCCCCTCCCCACAATTTCAACAAAATAATGTTACAAACAGAACAAAGTTTCCAAGGGATGGCCCCAGTTTCTGAACCAGAACTTCATTTAAAATTAGAAATAAAATATATTTATATTATTTTTTTATTTAAAACATATCATTATCATCATCATTATTGGTATTCTATTTTAGAGGAATGATTATCAATGATCACTTTCACATTTTGACCCAAGATAAAAAGTAGAGGATAAGTTGAGTGAAAGTTTGGGACACTGATGCCCTATTGTAGGACATAAGTCCTAGAAGATGAGCAAAATTACCTTCCATCGCCATGGATGGAACTGGAGAGCATTTGCATGGAGAGATGGGTCTAAATGAACAGCAGTGAAAACAGTTAGGACCTTCCATCCTGATGGAATGAGGTAACCTGAATACTCAAAACGAAAACTTTAGGTTATATTTAATACAGTTAATAAAGTATATAAACTAATGTCCAAAAGTTCATGCACTGCATGATTATATTACAAACATAATCAATAACGTAGTTATTGTAGAACTTATGTATAACATTATTATATTCGAGAAGAAAAATTAAATAAAACTTTATATTTGACATCCTTGAGAGCCTTTCGGTGAACGAATTTGACAATGTTGCCATATCTCAGAGCTTCATTGATGACCTACAAGCATGCATAGAGGGAAAAAGAAATTTATAAAATCACATCATTATTGCAAACATGCTACAAAAGGGGTGTATGTGTATATATGTATGTGTGTGTGTGTGTGTGTGTGTGTGTATGTATGAAAAAGAAAAAAATACTTACCTTTTGAGTGAAATTCATTTTCTTATAGTCCTCCCAGTCCAAATGATCATGTTTCTGCTTCATGCTCCTAATGTTATGATGCTCTTGCTGTATTTTAGTTAAAAAAGATAAATTTAATAGAAGATCTGCATGAAATTAACATGTAGCGGTTCACTGCTATATGGCAGTAAGGGTGCTGCCCGAAACTGTTATTGCATTACCGCAATCTCAATAAACGCAACAGAATGGAAAATACGGCTAATTAAGGGTGGGGTTACCTTTAACTGTTGTAATGCAGCTGGGGTGTGGCTTAAGAAATGAACCACCATGGACATCAAAAGGGAAGTAGTTTCATAGCCACCCAATAAAGAATCCAAAACAAAACTCACTTTTTCATCTTCGGAAAAGGTATCAACAGATAAAAGGATTTCAAGGAAATCACTACTTTTCTTAGAATTCCCATCATCATTATTTCTTCTGCTTCTTCTTCTTTTCTCTATAATTGCTTTGACAGTAGAAGATATTCTGCTTCTAGCCTGTAAAGATAGTCAAAGGTAAAGTTGATCATCACATGCCTTCTTTTTGCAACAGAAAAAAAAACATTAATTATTGGACAAAGTTAAAAAAAAACCTTTCTTTTTTGAGTACCTTAACAGCTCTTGCATATGGGGTTCCAGGAATATAAAGAGGGAGAGAAATAAGCCCTTTCATGAAAGTGAGAAAATCTTGCAGAATTTTTGAAGTCTCTGGCTCCTGTGGTGTCAACCCTAACACTTGCTTTACTATTACATTGAATGTGAACTATATGAAACCAAAAGTTGACAAAAAAACTAAAACAGAGTAAGAAACTTTACATTAGAATTACATTATCATATTAAAAATTGAACAAAAGTAGTACCTTTCTAGCCTCTTCACAGAAGATGACTTTGGGTTTATTTCTCCATGAGTCCAGTATTTGCAGGGATATCCTTTCAATGTCATTGATAAACTCAGGCTTTGATTTGGTGATGGTGACTAGAGACAGTGCTGCTTTTCTGAGCCTCCTGTGAGTGTCTCCCACTGCCACAAGCATTGAAACTTTGTCCAGGATGCCATGGATTGGCTTCGGATAACTGCACTCGAACAGCTTTCCTTCGTTTTGAAGTATGAAATAGTTCAACTCCGGGTCACATGATACCACTGTGGGACTGAAGAACAAGTGAGATTTGAACACTTTCCCATATCTGCAATTCCTTTAACAATTCTCATTTATATTTACATCACCATATACATGCATGTATATACATATGCATATACATAAACAAAAACATACTATTAAATATATGTATGTATGTACTTACCTAGAACAATGATCTTGAAGAAATGCCCCCACAGAGTTAGAAGAGTGAGGCTTCAAGAAACCAAGTGTTTCACCCAGTAAAGGCCATCCAAAAGCACCCTTGGGGACGATCCCAGCCTTGAAGAGCAAAGGCAAGAAATGGTTCAACACCACAAGCACGAAAAAACCGACCAAAACAGCCACCCAATAAGAACCGCCTCCGGCCATGGACCAAAACATGTGAAATTTAGTTGTGTTGAAAACTCTTGTTGAGCTTTGAGGGTTTTTTAAACTATTGTGAGACTTTTGTGATACCAATCGTGCAGCCTACAATTTCTATTTATAGAGAGAGAAGGGGCGAAAGAGTGGTGCCCTTTGCCTTGTAGTAATAGACTATAAAGTTATTTAAAAACAAAGGGGGGAAAGGAAACAGGCTTTTCCACAGACTGTTAGAGACTTAGAGTCTGTGAATTTACTTTATCAGAGGTAAGGCATAGGAAATGGAATCCTTATATATAGTGTAGGATCTAGACTATTTACCACTGTTCTGAGGGATGTGCAGAAGATGGAGATGAATAGTGAGTAATCAATGTATAGACGCAGGCTGCGTTCCCGCACTATTGTAATCTTAAAAGTATTTAAGTAAAACATTTATTTTGTGACACTAAAATCACATTAAAAATATTTTTTCATCCAAATTAATATTTTTAACTTTTATTAATTAAAATATAGTTTTAAACTTTTGAGGTGAAAAAATTAGGTAGAAAGTGAAAGTACACTTTTATTTTTGTTTTAATAGTGTTTGAGATTCTCATGTTTTTTTAAAAAATATTGACATGGTCCTCAAATAATTTATTCATTTATTAACTTTTAAATTCAAAAAAATTAATGTAGTCCTCTGATTAATGATTTTTATCGTTGATCGCTAAGTTACTGACGTGACAGTTTATTATGTTGATGTAACATTTTACGGTTGTTGATGAAGTGATATATGAGTTAAATTAATTTTTTAATCGAATTCAATGTTCAAAATATTTTTTAAAAAAATCAATAACTTATTTAATTTTTTGTGAAAAATAAAATTATTTCAAATTTAAAATATTTATATATTTAAAAATTAAATATAAAATACTAAAGATAAAAAAATTAATTACTAAAAAATTAAAATTTATATATTACAATATTAAAAACACTAATAAATTTAAAAAAAAAACAATATCATAAACTATAAAATTATATATGACAAATTATTAAAAATTAAAATATAAATTGTACATAATATATACGTGTAACATATAATTATATTACCAGCACTTATATAAAGTATTTTATTTAAATTATTCAAAACTTATTTGTACCTAAATATAATTAGAAAACATAGTAAATTCTTTGTATCGATAAGCTAGTATATAAAACAACGTTTAAAAAATATCTGAAATATAATTAAATGTGTGTATTGATATAACTTAGGATATTTCCTAGCTATATAATTAAAAATGGAAAGTTGCATTAATTTTATAATTATTTTTATTATTGAAAAAAATCAATTCAAAAGTATTTTCTAAGATTTAAAAGTAATTTTTAGTTTAATTTTAAAAATGAAACTATAGTTTTTAACAAGTATGATCTCTATGGTTTTGAGTGTAGATTCACATGCTTCTATGGTTTCTTGGAGCATAACTGATAGCTTGATAGTGGGGCTCTTTTGCAACATCTCTTGTAAAGGAGAAATTATAAGATGGATTCGGTTCACTATGTTATTCGTGGTTCAAACTAATAAAATTTATCCATTTTAAAGTAATTTTTAAATAAATATACACTCTTTATTTATATGTAGAAAAAAAGTGAAGATTCGCCTTGGAAAAAAATTGAAGTGAATAGATCTTATTGGTTGGGATTACAAATGACTTAGAGAATCGGGTTCATCTAGTGAACCGGGTAAATGAATAGAAGTGTCGGTACTTCTTTGGTAGTACCGATACTACATGTTGTTTACCAAAGTGTTCAAATTCTAGTAAGAAAAAATGGTATTGATACTCAAAGAATACTGATACTACTTTACACAGTAGTATCAATACCATGAAATCCTAATATCGATAATGGTAAGCTCAACAATCTTTAACAACTAGTTTATTTAAATATTATAAAGGAAGTACCGATACTCCTAGACTGAGTACTGATACTCCTTGTTTTAGACAGTTTTATTTTACAGAAAATTAATCTCCAATGGTTATAAACGACTTCAAACTTATTCGAACATATAAAAATAAGTATATGACACATGAAGAATGTTACAACACCTATCCAAGCAATCAAGATCAAGAGAAAAACTCTTTCACTCTTTATTCTTTCTTTTTTCTTATACATAGTATGTTTTTGTGAGCCTAATTTTGTAAAAACATACCTTTAGAGGTTTTCTTGTTTGCATTTCATTTTCTAAAAGGGGATGGGATCTAGTTTAGACATTGAAAAATTAGAGAATTTGTGAAGGTTACTCTAGAGCCTAAAAAAAGAAAGAACAAATTAGTGAATTTGTTAGAAATCCTTAGTGTGGAGCTAAGGTAGTGGATGTAAATTTGGTTTAAAAGTTGAACCACTATAAATCATGTGTGCGAATCTTTTCTTATTTTTCTCCTCAATTCTTAATTTTTCAAAAAGTTAATTCACCCCCTCTTGGTAATATTTTTTATTGTTCATTAGAGCCTAAAAAATCCTAACAATTTTATTGTGTTCTTAGAGAAAGAAAGAATTGTAAGGGAAAGCATTTGAGATTGAAGTAATTTATGAGAATCGTTGAAGTTAGTTTAAATTTTTAAAATTATTTATATTATTATGGGTTGTTTTTTTATTAAATTTTTGTTTTGAAAAAATGGTTTCATTTATATTATACTATTTAAATAAATTTTTGATATTATAATGTTGTTTTATAGACTTCTAATATGATGTGAATAGAAGAAATATTACGTATAGATTATAATTATATTTAATCTTATTCAATCAAAATTATATATATTTTAATTTGTTTTATTTAAATTATATTATGTTATTTGTATAATTTAAGATTTTTTAAAAAAATTTAGATGCACAAAGGTGAACGATCCCTCCACCATCGAGAAATGAATAATGTGGAGCAAAATCAATTGAAATTCCCTATTTGAAACAAACTAGTTTTTATAATGCCACATTTTTGTGTGTTTATAATTTGATTCTTGTTCTAATTTTGGAGTTGATTGAATATTGAAGATTCGAAATCCATAAATTTCATTTTTTATGTGGAAAAGTTAAAATAACTCTCGAAGATGTGACTATACAACTGGATGTCCTAATAAATGGTATGTTAGTGATGGGGCACAACATCTACAACATAGAAAAAAAATTAGAAAGCATACTTAGGGAAGGTGCCTTCAAAAAGCAATATAAATGGGTTGCTAGTCAAAATTACATGGTTGGAGCGGGAGTTTCAAGTCACTCAAGAATCAACCTATGACGATATCGCATACGCAGATTGAGTATATATTCTCTAATTGATTGGAAGAAATGCTAGATAAATCTGGTAATATGATATACATGCAGTATCTTCCGTTGTTGAGGGATTTTATGAATACCTGTCAATACAGTTGAGGATCCACAAATTTTTTTATTACAGGGCAACGATAGTGAAAAGCGCTCGTATAGCGAATGCCAGTGGTTGTCTGATCCTATTACATTTGTGGATGTGGTATCATTTTTTGTATTTTACACTAATTACTTGATATTTGGTTGAGTTTCATCTTGTTACAATGTAATATTTTTAATTGTTTTTTTGTTATTCATTTTTTATAAATATATATGATATTATGAAGATAATACATGATTTTTTTGTAATGAATATGGTGGTATAAAATTAAAGATTCAAGATTAGCCCATGAAAATAAATTAGATTTCAGAATGAAAATCGATATAGAAGATAGATATCATATATCATTTTTAAAAGTTCATTACATAATTTGTGTTATAATTTCACTATAATGATCAACAGTTACAAGAAAGAACAAACTAAAGAAATAAGGAAGAAGTGAGAAGCAAGATTACTGAACTTCATTCATTTCATTGATTATATTTCTGTCAATTAAAGAGAGCTACATTTATACAACTGATAAGAGCAATTCTAGAAGTTCTAACAGTTTCAACAGTTTACAACAATCTTAACTAACTCTAACAAACTAACCATGAGTAGCCAACTAAGCAAATAGCTTACTCCAGGTCATATACACTAACATTCCCCCTACTGCAAACACCTCCTTGTTTAAGAACACCAACTTCACGCGAAACCGAGGTACATACAACACCATGCATCAACACTCCCCCTACTGTAGACTCCACCTTGTTTAAGAACACCAACTTCACGTGAAAACAAAGTGTATGCAAAACCATGCACCAACACTCCCCCTACTGCAGACTCCACCTTGCTTAAGCTTTTTTATTCCTCAACCCTCGAAACCAAAAATTTGTTTGGAATTTGAGACACAAGCAACCGTTGTCTATGTTTAAGAAACATAGGAGCAGACAATGGCTTAGTTAGAACATCATCAACTTGCTCAAAAGCATGAACTTTCTGAACAGAGAGTTTTCCAGCATCCACCATCTCCCTAACAAAGAACAGATCAAGCTCAACATGTTTAAACTTGGAATGAAGGATTGGATTCGTACAGACTACAACAGCACTAGAGTTATCACACCACAAGATAGATTTGCCATGAACAGTCACACGTAGTTCACTTAAAAGTGACTCAAGCCATGCCATCTCAGCAGCAGCACACACAACACTCCGATACTCAGTCTCTGCAGTAGAGCGAGCAACCACCTGCTGTTTACGAGAGCCTCAGGAAACTAAATTCCCAGCAAAGTAAATGCAGTAACCCAAGGTCGACCATTTGTTATCTGCATCCGATCCCCAGTTTGCATCAGCAAACCCTGTCAAGGATAAGTGAGACGATACTGAAAATTGAATACCAAAATCGATAGTGTCCTGTAAGTATCTCAATATGCGCTTAAGTGCCTGAATATGAATATCACATGGAGACTGCATAAATTGGAACACCCTATTCACTGTAAAGGCAATATTTGGACATGTGATAACAACGTACTGCAACGCACCAGCAATACTTCGATATTGAGTAGCATCCTTAATCGGTGTCCCAATGTCAACAATCAACTTGCAACTAGTAGCCATAGGCGTGGGAAGTCCTTTATCATCTTCCAGACC